GGGCTCAGTCCACCATGGCTGCTCCCTCCCCAGGCTCCCATTGCAAGTCCTTTGGGCTGCAGATCAGAGACTCCCACCACCCATCTTCAGGTCCGGGAATGGGAAGAACAGCTCACAGAACTGAGGGGAATATTTACTTACATTTCCCAGTTTATTATAAAGGGCATGACAAAGGATATAGATGAAGAGATACACTGCCTCTTCTGGGAATGCCATCTCCGTGTGCTCACCAATCCAGGAGGAATGTCAGCTTCTAGGGAGGCTTTATTACACAGGCATGATGGATTCCTAACTCGGTCTCCGGCCCCTCCCGCTTCCTCAGTGGCAGAGCCTGAAAGTTCCAGGCTTCTAATTACTGCTTGGTTTCTTGGTGACAGCTCCATCCAGGAGCTCACCAAGAGCTGTCTCGTTAGAAGGAAAGATGCACCTGTCACTCAAGAAACGACAAGGGTTTCAGGACCCCTGTGTCAGGAACTGGCGACTAAGAAATAGAATTTCTTCTTATATCCCAATATCATAATGGGACTTACCGGGGCTTAAGAGGTTACAGAATCCAAAGTTCTCATCTCCCCTGTGCATGATCCTGCCTAGCTTGCTAGGTCTGCATCCTGTGTCCCAGAGATCTGCCTATAAGCTCCCCACCCTCAACCTCACCCTCCTCCCCGGGAAGAGAGGGGCTTTTTATTACTGTGGCCTTCTGAGTACCACTGCCACCCCATTGGGGGCTGAGTCCTGTGTTCGTGTTCCCTCACTGTGATAAACTACCTGAGATATACAACTTATAAGGAAGAAAGGTTTCTTTTGGTTCAAGGTTTTGGAGGTTTCAGTCCATGGTTAACTGGTTCCATTGCCTTTGGGCCTACATAGAGGGAGAACATCATGGTGGGATCTTGTAAGAGAGGAGGACTATTCACCTGACGGTGATCAGGATGCCAAGAGACAGGAAGGGACTGGGATCCACTTCCTCTTTCAAGGCATGCCCCAATGACCTAACTTCCTTCCACTAGGCTCCACCTCTTAAAGGTTCTACCACCTCCCAGTCCTGCCACAAGCTGAGGAACAAGCCTTCAACATGTGAGCCTTTGGGGAACACTTGTCCAAAACAGCAGAGCTTCTCAGGCTTCATCCTTCATTTTCTTCCCCAAGACTAGCAATTCCTATCTATATCAGACCAGCCCATCCCCTACCCTGTTTGGGCTCAAAGCCTGCCTCTGCCCCTTATCTGCTGTGTGGCCTTGGGAGATGGCTTCACCTCTCTGGGCCTCCATTGCCTCATCATCAAAATGGAGCTATTTACAGCTACCCCAGAGGCTGTGCCAATGAAAAAGGAGCTGTCTTCTGTAAAGCATTTAGAGGTGTGTCCAGCATGCAGTAAGCACTGACTACATAAAGGGGCGAGGGAAGGGCTTTCCTCCCCACTCGCTCCTCCCCCTGTGGCACCTCCTGTGCCCACTCAGCTCCTGCCCCTGAAGTCACTCTCTCCTCTCCACCCTCCGTCCTGCCTGCACCCAGAGTCTTTCCCTCCTTTTGGACTTGGCTCCAATGCCCAGTCCAGGGAGACTTCCTGGTCCTCCTCACACCCACCACACAGGGCAGAGGACTGAGCTCGTAAGTGGGTGGAAGCTGGGTCTTCAGGGGCCTGCTGGACAGAGGGGTGCCAAGGACCTGTGTAGGTCCATACTGTCTGAGCACTGGGAAGGAGGAGCCTGGAGTCTCTAGGAAGCCTTTCCAGTGGGGAAGGACTTGAACTAGGCCATGGTGTGCCCCGCTATGGGGCATGTGTCCCCCATCTCTGAGCTCTCCAACGAGACCTTGACAAGAGCCACTGTTCAGCTCAGGCCGTCTGTGTGCCACTTTCTTGGCATACAGTAATGTGATGCACACCGTGTTTGTATTATCCCCATGTTAAAGATGAGGTGACTAAGGCCCAGAGAAGTTAAGTAGATTTACCAGGGCCACACAGCTAAGAAGCAGCATCCCCAGAACCCTGAACACAGGGATCTCTGCACTCTGTACCCTCTGAGAGCTTAACTCACAGGACATGGAGTAGAACTATTCACGACATGTCTCTGCCTTCCCTGATCCTCCAGATCGTGTGCTTTCTGAGGGGACACGATCCAATGGGCCTCTTCTTCCTGCCCACCCATCTCCACCACCACCAGGGACTCTGCTCAAAATAGTCACCTGAAGGTTATGCTGTGGGTTTGAACTGAGTCAAATCCACCCAACCATCCCCTGAAAGAGAACAAAAATCTGTGACTGTGCCAACTTTTTGGACCAGCGGAGAAGTTCTAGGAGACAGAGGCAAGATCTGGGAGTCATTCCAGAATCCTTTTCTGATATGCTCATCCATTTGCCTGAGCTGGAACTGCAGGCATCAGACGCCAAGCACATGACCCCCACAAAGGGCTTTGGTCAGCAAAGAGACTCGGCCACAGCTTGAGACCCAGCATCAGAGGCAAGATAGTCCCAAACCATCCAGGTCCTGGGGCAGGGGCCATGATCACAGAAGAAGGGTCAGAGGAGTTCCCAGAGGGGAGGGGAACTCGACTCAGGACCTGTGGTGGTTCTTGGCATACATGACCGGACAGAATGTCAGCAGGAGCCAGACAGAGGCCTAGACAGAGGTTCATTTAGGAAGTAGATACACATTCAAGGGAGAATGCGGGCCGTCTGGAGAGTGAGAAGCCCCTCTGTGGACTGGGGTTCAGTATTTATAGAAGGGCCCTGTAATCAGGCCCAGACTGGAGATGGAGCCATACAAATTTTCGCCTGTTTTCCGGGCCCTCTTTCATATCGCAAGGACACAGGCCAAAGGCATGTTGCTGAAGATTCATAGCTGTGTCTTCGGCATCTCAATGGCTTACGGGCATTTCCTTTAAGGTTCAGTAGATCTCTCTTTTTATCCTAGACCCCTATCTCAACATGAGCCCGTTCCTGTGAGCTCAGAAAAGGTGCCAGGCCACCCACAGAGGTCAAGCAGGCCAGCACCTGCGTGGTGGGGCCAGGAATGTTGCAGCGGGCTTTGAGAGCTGTCCCCTGAGATGCAGAGACTGGGCCTGCCTTGGGGGCCAACATCCACAGCAGACACTTCACTTCTGAGTTGAGCATTGCCTGAGAGGCTGGGAGTCCCTGGGGACCTGTGCCACCCAAAGAGGCATTACCTGCACTTCTCCAATGGGGCTGTGAAGCCGGTGATGAGTCAACCCTGAGGCCCTCACTCACCTGAGACCCAGCTGAATAGGGCCTGAAAAGTCTTCTTGGAAGGTCCCAGGGCCCAGAGCTTCCCCTCCACGCCCTAGCCTGCTGCGCTCCAGAAAGGTGGCCCACTGGACCGGTGAGGCCTCTCTGATGCCCAGAAGCTGATGCTGAGGAGCTCCCAGCAGCCCCTGCAACCTGTGAACAGCAAGACCACAGCCCCCCAGGGTTTGTTCTGTGAGCCAAGAGGTCAGAGCTCCCAGATGATGGCTCAGGCAGCCCTGCAGCACCAACACACACACACACACACACACACCTTCTAAGCACACACAGCATCACGCACCCAAGTTCCCTTCACCTCCCTTTGCACCCAGCATTGTGGCCGAGTGTTCCACAGAGCACAGGTGCAGTCTGCGCCCCCGCCCTGGGCTCCAGGAGGGGGTGGACAGCGCTCACCCATCTGATCAGGTGGGATCATTAATTAGAAGCTCTAGGCCAGCAGGGTGAGGCTGAGCATGTGGCCTCCAGCCCCAGCACAGGAAATGGACTGAGATTGATGTGGGGAACGTGATGTTTGAGGGCTCTGGCTCATGGGGACATTCTGGGGCAAACATCGGCCCAGCTGCCAGGGAGGGAACATCTGAGCAGAAGAGAAAGAGGAGGGGCCGCCTTCTGGCAGAGCAGTGCCTTCTGGAATCCCAGAGGCAGAAATGTCGGGTGGAGAGGCCATGAAAGTCACACAGCCAAGTGCGCAGACTCACAAGCACATCGGCCACAGAGTAGACGCCTGATCTTGGGAGGGTGGGGAGCAGGGTTAGAATTTCACTCTCGTTCAGTCCTTCGCCACATATTGTCCAGCCTCTCTGCCTTTGCAATGCTGTGCTCTCTCCTCGTACCTCCCTTATCAGGTGGGCGAACTCCTACGCACACTTCAAAGTCCACCTCAGCCTGACCTGTTCCATAGGCCACCCATCCTCAATAAATTCAAATGCTGTGAAGCTGGTCACCAATCCATCTTTCCCACCAGACGATGGTCCCTGGAGGGCAGACAGGACCACATCTGCATCATCCCTCCATGTCCAGCACCCACTCTGATGGGACACTGGGTGGTCTGGGTCTCTGGGGTAGGATTGCCATTGTTGCCGCCATCAAGTCTGTTCCCTGGTGAGTATAGGAACTGACATTGTGGCCCCTAGCCTCAAAGTGCCACCTCTTCTAGGCAGGCAACCTTCCCAAGTCCAGGTTAGGTGTCTTTCCCACATATTAACCTAATGACCTTGTAACTGTCTGCTTATCTGTGAGACAGGAAAATAAAGTAGTTATACACTTCTTTTCTGCAAGTTCTAAGTCTGGGATTCCTTCCGGACCTGGGACATCCTGAGGACACTAGAGAGGTCCCTCAGCCAGGGCCTGACACATAGTAAATATCTGCAAATGTTGGGGAATAAACAACTAGGGGACATCCCCCACCTGGCTTTGTGACAAAAAGGCCTTGTTCTCTCCCAGGGGCACATCCCTTCCAATGGAGGGGAGGATGGCTCAAGGGCTGTGGGACAGAGCAGACTTCTGCTTCAGAGGTGACCCTGCACCGGACCACTTCTAAGGCCTTTCCAGGGTTCCAAGTTGGGTCAGGACACCACTGTGCTATGGGGTCTTCATTGTCCCCCTCTTCAGCTCCCCCCTCTGCACAATAGAGGTAAAAGGAATGAGGGATGTGTGGCTGATCAAGGCAAGTGACAGACAAGAACCATCAATGGCTGCCAGTGCCTGGCCTCTGACCTCATCCCTTTTCCCCCCAACAGGCAGCCAGGCCAAGCCAGGTGCCCAGAGAACAACCCCAGTGGGCACTGCTGGAGCAGTACTGCCATGCAGTCCAGACCCTCACTGACCTCTCAGGTATGTGTGCCCCCCACTGCCTGGTAGTAGACCCACAGGTGAGGGTGGGCCCCCGGGGCTAAGGAAGGAAAGTTCTCTGGGGTGGATGGAGCCTCAGCTTCCAATCCTGGGCTGCTCTCTGTCTTGCTGGGGGTCTCTCAGGAGGCCCCCTTCCCCATGTGAGCCTCAGGCCTCTTGCTGCTGAGAAAGGCTGGGCTGAGCATCCCTGACTCACTTCCAGCTCCCCCATGGGCACCCGAAGGAAGGAGGCTGGGCTGGTTTCAGAAGCCCAGGGAGGAATTGACCCCTCCACTTTCAAACTCAGGCGAGAGGCGAGGCTGGCAGAAGGTGTAAAACTATCTCCTGTTGCCGTGGCTACAGGTGTCACCCCAACAGGACCTGTGAAATAGCCGCTGGGCCTTGAGTTCTAACCTCTGAGTTTTACAGCTGCTGATTCACAGAGTCAGGGACAGATGCTGCAGAGCTCAGAAGTGTGCTAGACTCTCAAGGCTCTGGAGAGAGCTCTCTAGGGCCCCACCCAGTGTCCTGGCCTTCCCAGGGCTGTACCCAAGGAGCAGGAGGGAAGGAGGAGGGCTGGGGTGAGGAGGAGGTGCCCCTCTGGCTTGGAGCTGCTGCCAGAACACGAGATCAAAAGTTCTGGCCAACACTGGGTTCCCGCGTCCAAATGCAGCCTGACTCTGGCATCCAAGAAGAAAGTCTGGCTTTCTGCTTCCTCAAGGTGGGGAAATTTTGAGCTCAGGCAGACCCAAGTGGATCCTTGCTCCTCCACCTAGCAGAGATGTGACCCTTGACATATCATCTAACCCATCTGCATTAGTTTCCTAGGGCTGATGTAACAAAGTATCCCAGACTGCCTAGCTTGACTAACAGAAAAATCATCGTCTTACAATTCTGGAAGCTGGACCTCTCAGTCTAAGGAGTTGGCCTCTGTTGGTTCTTTGTGAAGCCCTCTCCTTGGCTTGTAGATGACTGTCTTCTCTATGTGTCTTTATAAGACCTCCCTTTGTGTATGTCTGTTCCCAATGTCCTCTTCCTATATGGACCCTGATCCTACTAGATTAGGACCCACTAAGCAAATTGTGTTAATTTTACTTTATCTCTTTAAAGGTCCTATATCCAGAAAGGCCACATTCTGAGGTATGGGGACTTAAGACTTTTGACAAACGAATTTAGGAGGGATATAATTCAGCCTATCTGAACCTCAGTTTCCTCATCTGTTAGAATAGGTTCTAAGTCTTCCCCAGAGGTTTACCATGAGGGTTAAATGAAAGACCATGGGCACACCCAGTCAGGGTCAAATCCAGCAGCCATCAGAGAGGAAATGGAGGCCCCTCACTGCAGGATGGCCCCAACCTCTGTCACCAGACCTTCTGCCTTCAAGCAATGCTGGATATCTACGGACACACCGCCTTCTCCCCTCCCCTCTGCCTGTCCCTCTCCTTCCCTTGGGCAGGTGGCACAGACCCTTTGCTGTTGCCCTGGATGATGGTACCGTGTCCTCCCTGTCTTTGAGTTTAGTGAGGAGGGTTCTGACCTATCCCCAAAACAAGGCCCTCCTGCTCAACTTCTAATACCATTCATCAGTTGACAAAAGACATCTGTAACATAAAATTGGGGGGGGGAGATTAATCAAAGAAGATGATAAGTGCTCATGATCCCACGATCCAGGAATTTTTATATAATATTATAGAACCATAGAGCCTCATGCTGGGCTTTTTGTTTGTTTTTATTTGCATTGAACTCGTCATCCTTGGGGAGCCACACCTGAGAAAGAGTGACATGATCATAATTTTTAAAAAGTCTCCTCGTCTTCCACATGGAGGAAACAGGGACCCCAGTTGAGTTGCTCAGAGAGGAGGATGAACCTGGTGGGAGGACACAGATTTTTACAAAACTGGGACAAGACTGGGTTCACTGTTTTATAACCAGCTTTTCCTCCAATAACTCAGAGTGAACACTTCCCCATGTCATTAACTATTCATTCACCACATCACTGCTGGCGCTGCCTGGCAGCTACCATGGGAATGCACCGTCCTTCAATAGACGTGCCCCTGAGGGGAACGTGTGAACTGTTAGGATGCCCACTGGGCCTGGGAAATCCCTTCTTAAATCTCCACAAGGTAGTGGCCTCCTTTTACTGTCCATTGATTGTGAGAACTCATAATAACAAACATAAAGGTCAAAGATACTGTTGTTTAGACACATGTACATGTGAAAAAAACCGGGGGGAAAAATAAGACCACAGTAATGATAAAGGCAACCTTCTAGGGGACATTCCCTCCAGGGAAGGAGTGCGTAGATAAGTATGTAAGTAATCGGTAATGATCGGTTTGGGACTGGGAGGTAGGCCGGTTACTGTCACTACTACCTGAAACTTCCATAAAGGAAAAGACCAAAGTTAAAATACAGTGAGGCCATGCATGAGCTATTGGCAAGTGTTCATAAATCAAAGACTATGACCAACTCAACTGTATGTCCCCGAGGTCCAAAGAAATGAAAACCACATGTAATCACAAGAGTGATTATGACTCTGGACCAGTTTTTAATGGGTTGTTTCTATTGTTTTCATCACAGAGCATTTATATATTTTTGAAAAATAATAGACATTTTATGTATTCTGCTCATGGATAATAATAAGGGTCTACAGGGACCCAAGGATCCCTTGAACTAACTCCCCAGGCCAACACACAGACATGTATGCACACACCCACAAGTTTGGTCAAACGGAAGAGTTTTGCTTCCTCAGCTCTGTGTCCAAGGCATTTGTTCTTTCTGCAGTGATCACTGAGCCCAAGCCTGAGACTTTCTGATGGATGGTGGGGACAGTGAGTGAAGAGCAACAGTCCTGTCCTCCGAGAGCCACAGCACAGGCCGGTAGAGGATACAAAGGGAAAACTAGGCACCTTATGGAGACATAGGCCAGCCTGGCAGACAGGGGCACCAGGGAGGGCTGCCCCACCCAGACAAGACAGAGGAGGTGAGACTCAGGTGTTTTGAAGGGTGGGAAGGAATGGGTTGGGCTGACTGAAGTGCAGAGCTGAAGGACAGTCAGAATAGATGGCATAGCGTGTGCCAGGGGGCAGAGGGGCAGCAAGGTCCTAGGCAGTGATAAGGTGTTCCTAAGGTTACCTCAAATTTAGCAGGAGGACAAGGAAGAATTTTCTTTACAATGCCAAAGATATGGCTCCATTTTGAAAGCAATGGGAAGACACTCTTTTTTTCTTTTTTCTTTTTCTTCTTTTTGGGTGCCAGGGATTGAACCCAGGGGTGCTTAACCACTGAGCCACACCCACAGCCCTTTTTTATATTTTATTTAGAGACAGGGTCTGGCTGAGTTGCTGAGGGCCTTGCTCAATTGCTGAGGCTAGCTTTGAACTCGTCATCCTTGGAGAGCCATGCCTGAGAAAGAGTGACATGATCATAATTTTTAAAAAAGTCTCCTCGACTTCCATAGGAAGAGACAGAGACCTTGCTCAGAGATGAGGGTGACCTAGTGGGAGGGGACAGAGAACTCCTTTTCCCTCTCTGGGGAGCCTGCTTCTCACCTTAAAATGAAAATGTGGGGTTGGGTGGTCCCTGAGGGGTTTCCTGGTCCCACATCCTGGTCTTCTTGTTGGACATGAAGGTACCATGTCATTTCTCATATCCCAAGGTGGAGTGAGGTGGAATAGAGAGGGGGGTGTCTGACCTGGGAGCACAGTCCTTGGTGCCACAGGACAAGTGCAGATCACTTTCAGGCTCCTTCTGAGTTTCCACACCCAGTTATCACTCCCAGGAAAACCCACAACTTTGTCCAGTTCTGTCTGAAAAGACTCCTGTGTATGTGGTCTAACTGAGAACAGCCCCCCCTAGAGAGGCAAGGGTATATGCTATCCCCTTAAATCCCATTTTTGATGGACAGGAGAATGGGTGTGATATGGTCAAGATGGGGGACAGTGACATCATGTGGGATTCTGTTGTGCTCTGCATGCTTATTTGATGCCATGTATTGGACTGTGTAGTAGGTGTGTATAAGCTGGCCTGGAACCATCCATCCATCCATCACCATAGTAGATGATATCAGAGGTGGGCCAAGACATGGGCTGCAGGCACCAGAGGCACCTGCTTCACCCAGGCTGTTCATGACACACAGGGCACTTCTGCAGCACCTTGAGTTTATTTGCCACTTTTCCCTGTCCCCACCATCCTAGGGACACACAGACTTCCTAAATATTTCTCCCTGCATTGCCTGGCCAGGGTCTGCAACCGGTCAGCCCACAGCCCCAAGAATCCACAACTCCATCCCAGGGGCTTCCAATCCACCTCTGCTTCCTTAGCAAGTCAAAAGTCCCCAGTTTTTGTTTATGTGTAGTTGATTTAACCCAATTGAGGAAAGCTTTGACTTTTTCCAGTTTCTTCCATCTGCCTATTTGCAGATGCAAAAGTGAGCTGTAAATTTGATTTATTCCAAAACTTCTACCAGTTTTCCCTTTATCTCATCTAGAATAACAGTCAATTGTGCCTCTAATAATAAGACCCACAAAGAAATGGCCCCACATCCTGGAAACCCAAGGAGCTTGGTACTGTGAGGTGCGCTCAGGCCCTGACTGCCCATCCAGTGAAATGGTCACTTCCCAGAGGAAACTTGCTGCCTAAGCCCTTTTGTTTGGAATAATCCAAGTCACCCAGGCCAACCCTCTATTCTGCAGAAAACTTTCTGTGACATGTGTCCCCTGGGCAGGGACTCTGATGATAAGCAAAGTTCACTGCTTAAACATGGTTGATTTTGTCCCTGCTCCAAGCTGTGATGTGGCCCTCCTTTGTGCATGAAGGAGGCTTTACCTATAAGACAGGCTGACCCAGCCAGTCACACTCTGGCCTCTTTAGGACCCCAGGAGGCAAGGCTCAGTTCAGGAACTGGGGACAGGACTCTGCCTAGCACTAGGATTAGGATCAGGTTTTAGGTTAGAGTTAGGACATAACCCATCCTCCCCTGTTGCTGGCATTGCTTATTATGGAGACCAAGGGCCTTTGTCCCTGCAGCTGTTCCTATCTGAGGCAAAGGCTCTAACTGTCCATTAAGGAGAGAACAGACCTGGCTGGATACTCTGCACCTTGTCCCTGCCAGTTGGCAGGCCCTGGAGAGATTCTAGGGCTCAGCCCTGACCTCACTGCTCACTCGCCCTCTCCCTCTCTCCTTCTGCCTGGGAGTGACAGCGGCATTAGTAAAGAGGCTGGTGAGACTGGATACACGGAGGCAGCCTATCCTGCCCTCCACCTTCCCTGCTCAGGGTGTGGCACTGGTTCAGGGTGGTTTCAGGCTTCTCTGGCACCTTTGGTTCCCAGTCAAGGATGGAGATAGGGAGATAGGACAGTTCCTGGGACCTCTAGCTCAGCTGGGACTAGGTCCTAGTTTATCCTGCCTTCTAAAGATAGAAATACAGAACACACATGCACACATGCATGGGTACATGTTGTGAATGCACACACACACACACACACACACACACACTTTCACAGGCTTTTCCTCTCATAACTCAAAACCAGAGAAATCCTTCAGAAGATTTCAATGATGGACAAAACCCCAAAACAGGCTAGACTCCCACCTGGGGTAAATGGCAGTGAGAGGAGGCACAGAGCCCAGGCTAAGTTGGAGCTTGCCACACCCACATCCCTGTTTCCCAAGCCTGAGTTCACTGAGCAGGCATGAGCCACAGGCCCATCTTGAGCTCTCTAGGGGTGTAGATGCAACAAAAGAGCAGGCAACTCCTGAGGAAACCTGGGCAAATTCCCCATGAAGGATTTTAGCTCTTCCACATCTGCTGTGGGACCTGATTTCCACCCCCTCTACTAGTACAGACACCAGTCAGGTGATTCTGTCCAATTCAGGAGGAAAAGAGACATATTCTCATTTCTCACTTCATTCTTTGGTGCCCGGGCCACTCATATCCTGGTGTTTGAAATCTTCCATTTAACGTCAACCAATTTCTCCTCTAGAATTTCCCTTTTCATTAAATGGCAATAGTGTTCCCTCAGTCAGCCAAATGGGAGACCTGGTGTTATCCCTGACTTCTAACTTCTGCTGAATGTCACCTGCCTCCTTCCCTCTCCAGTGCCCCCTTCCCAGGTTGAGCTCTAGCTCACATGCACTGGTGCAGGTCTTCGTCCATTCAGGACACTCGATCTCATTAGACTCTCTTTAGTGGCCTCCCGATTTCCCTCAAGGTTCCTCCAGTCCACTTCCTTCTTAGAGGCTATGGCGGCTTAGAAAGGGTGCAAATCTGCATGTGGACGGTGCGCCCCACGCCCCGTTCTAGTGTTCTTGCTCATGGAGAAGAAACTCGGGCAAAGAGTCGCCCGACTTTGGCTGGCATCTATCCCACCACCGTAAGGGAGGCTGCAGTGGGTTTCTTGGACAGGCGGGTGCCTTTTGCTGTCCCTGCGGCACTGGGACCTGGGATTCTCCTCGGATGGGGCATTCCACACCCCAGGCCTAAGCTCGCCAGCCCGCGGGCTTCCTCCGAACTTTGCTGGTGGAAGAGAGCCAGGACCTGAGAAATACGACTCGGGGCAGTGGGCTGCGGACTGAGTCCGATCAGGGGAACCGCCCGGCCCCAGCCCTGGTCCCGGCCCCGGCCCCGCCCCCCGGCGCCGTCATTGGCCGCGGCCGAGCGGGTGGACCCACCGCTCCGCACTCCGCGGCTCCGCTTCGGTTAGGTCCTGGCTTGGCAGCTCCGGGAAACCTGGGGTGGCGGCGGGAGGCTGCCCGACAAGTCAGGGCTGGACAGGCAGGGACCTGGACCCTGCGCTCTCTCGGCCGCTCGCCCTCACACCCACTCTTGGCTGCCACACCGGGCGCGCATTCCCACTCCCTTTCCACACGCAGCTCCGGGACGCAATGGACGCGGCACTGCTCCACAGCCTGCTGGAGGCCAACTGCAGTCTGGCGCTGGCTGAAGAGCTGCTCTTGGACGGCTGGGGACCGTCCCTGGACCCCGAGGGTAGGCGGGAGGCGAGAGGACCGAGGCGGCGCGAGCTCCTTCCCCGGCGCCCTCGGTGCCTCCAGGGCCACGCGCTCTCAGCGCCCGGCGCCCTGAGTCTCACAGCACCCTGCGCCCCAGCGACCCCTCTGTGATCCGCTCTGCTCTCTCCCGTCGCCAGGTCCCTACTCCTACTGCAACACGACCTTGGACCAGATCGGTACTTGCTGGCCCCGGAGCGCTTCTGGAGCCCTCGTGGAGAGGCCGTGCCCTGAGTACTTCAACGGTATCAAGTACAACACGACCCGTGAGTGTCCATCGGCCCTTGGCTGCGGGCTCTGCGCCGGCCTCCCTTTAGTGCAGTTCAGGGAGAGGGGAGGGTTCTGGACCCTGTGTCGGAAACCTGCAGAAGGCGCAGTATCGCACAGCTTCCAACCTCAGTAACTGTGGGCAGTAACCATTCCTGGACTCTGGGTGGAAAAAGTCAAGAAAGGGAGAAGGGAATATTTCCTCCTTTTTAAGGTCAAATCTCTCCTACACTGCTACCTGAAGTTTCCCCACTAAGGCTTCATCTCTTCCTTTAGGATGCTCCCTTGACCCTGGAGCGGGTGCGGTGGGCGTATATATGCTTGCTCTTCTACCTTCTACCTTGTCCCCCACCCCCGTGGTGATTAGATTCTTCACTACTGGAGAAGAGAGGGGGAGGTTAGGAGGCAAGAAAGATGGGGTGAGCATATATGTTGGGGAGATCATACAGAGCATAGACAGGGGAGCTAGAGGTACGAAGTGTCACCTCTTTCCTAACCAGATGTCCCCAGGCTGGCCCACAAGTCTGTGAGTCAGGCATAGTAGGCAGCACTACTCCTGTGTGGCAGTTCCAGGTAATGCGTGGGGTCTGAATCAGGTCCACCCCCACCTTCCAGAGAGAACAGCCTGCCCCTCCTTCCTCCTGGCAAATCACTGCTGGCTGGACACTGAGGAAGAGGGTGGCAGAAGAAGAACACCTCTAGATGAGGTGTTCAGTGAGGGTTCTGGTTGTGGCGAAGGGTGTGTGTGTGCACGCGCATCTGTGCCTACGATTGCCTTATGTCTATGCCCTGTGGAAGGTCTAATGGGAGCCAGATGTGAGGTCCCTGTGCGGCTGTAGATGCAGTGATCACTGGCCCACAATGAACACCCTTCACATCTCCAGCCTTACCCCAACAATAGAGCACCCCCCAGCCGACTTGATGTGGGGGCTGTTTGTCTAAAGTCCCTTCCTCAAATCATTGTATCAAGCCCTGAGTGTCCACATCTGAATGGTGGCCCAGCTCCTCTGTTGCCACACATATACATATGCATGCGTGCGTGCATGCGTACATGCTTGTCCACGCATTCCAAGTCCTTCATGGTGAGTGATGGTTAGAAGGCAAGATACCAGGCTTGCTTTTGGTGCCAAGCTGCACTCCCCTAGCTGCACCAGCTGAGGGCTCTGGTGGACCCAGGGAGCAGCCCTACTCTGTGGAATCTAGGGCAAGATGCTCCTAATGGAAGGGACTGGTAGAGGTAGTGGGACCTCTGAGGAAGGATTCCGCATCACCTGAGATCCTGCTTTCTATCCATTAAAACAGAACTCTATAGGAGGAAGTGAGGTCCCCAACCCAGGAGGTATGCAAGCTAGAGAAATGACCTCCCAGTTCTCATATTACAAGACTGTTTTTTTGTGTGTGTGTGTGTGTATTCTGTGAGCTTTGTGGAATGTGGCAATGGAGATCATTGTGCCTGATTCAGTCTGTGCTCAGCAACTAAGGGTCATCCAGGGCCAAATAGGGAAATGAAACTTCTCAACCCACAGCCTGTGAGCCTGAGGGAACCCTACCTCTCTGCTCTTCACCTAGCCTGCCCTACTTCCTGTTCTCCCCAGTTAGCCTGGAAACCCCACCCCCTGTATCAAGGGCAGAGTCTGGACTCTTCAGAGCAGAAATGAGCACAATAGGATTCAACCAATTTATTGAACACCTATTATATGACACAAGGCATTGGCACTGTATTGAAGGCCTCATTCATAATTGCAGCAGACAAAACTAATATACAGTGATAAGCCCTGATGGGGGAGGGAAGGGGGAGGAGGATAGGGACAGCACATACCAGACCATTCACATCAAGTCAAACTTGAAGCTGAAAAAAGGCTGGGGCACTGGGGTTGATAAATGTGGTAGCAATTATCCCCTGGTGTCTAATGAACAATTTTCTCCACTTGGACCAAAGAGTTTTCTGCACTGTAACTCCCAGGGAATGAGAGGAGCATGGGGTTGGGGTGGGGGGCATTGCCATTAACAGGTACCTGGGGCTGGAGGACAGCAGACAGTCAGCCCAGGTGGGAAGAGCCAAGGCAGCTAATGGCAATGCGAGTTTGTGATTGATTGATTTCCTGCCTGCCCTGGCCAGCCAGCTGCTGCCTCCTCCTTCTCCATTTGCCTTCATTGTCTTCCTTTAGAGAAGGATGCAGACAAAACAGCCCTGTCAGAAGCCTGCAGGGCAGTCTGGGCTCCTCTTCCTTCCCCAGTCTTCATATACCAAACCCCTCCGAAGCCTCATTCCTTGGAGGGCAGGAATTGCCCAGATGGAAGAGTAGCTTAGGCGGTGGTCCCTGAAATCTTTCAACTCAGCAGAGTGCAGAGAAACTGCCACAAAACAATCAAGGGCTGCTCTTTGTCCAGGGGCCAGATTCCACCAAGAGAGTTTTGCACCCGAGATCCCACTCCCCATACACGCTGCTTGTATGTCCACATGGCAGACAAGAACACTGAGGCTGGAGACATGGAGTCACTTGTTCAAGCTTCTAACCAATCCTATGCACCAGTGCAAGCAGGGAACCCACAGCCCTCACTTTTAACCATGGGGAAAGTCTGCTTCCAAGAGTGACATGTTGAATTTGGAAGGCAAGCTTAGGGGACAAAGGAAGCCTCTAGGCCTGGAGAAGTGGGGGAACTCAGCCACCTGACCTGCAACTCTAGGGTCAGGTTGGATTTATTGGGCCAATTCAAATAGGCATAGGAGAGTCAATCTAGTTCAGGGAAAATGAGTAAAGACCCAGATATGGAACTGTGCTTTGTGGCTGGGGACTAGTGAGCATCATGTGGAGAAAGAAACAGACCAGAGAGGCAAATGGAGAGCTGATGATGCACAGTATCACTGTCAGTGCAGGATGGAGCCTGGACAAGCTCAGGAGCAGAGGGGACACTCATTCTTCAAGAAGGAAAGGAGTGACAAGGGGTGCTGTACCCTGGGGTCGAGCAGAAGGCACTGGAATTAACAAGGTGGGAGAAGGAAAGGTGGGGGGGCACGGATGACCCAGGCACACAGGAGACTGCTGAGCACAGTGGGAGATGTGCTGACATTGAGAAGCTGAAGGAACACCTTAACAGAGATGCCAAGGAAGCAGCTGGCTGGGTGGAGAACAGCCCCAGAGGGCACCACGGGTGGAGGGAAGCCATCTGGTGGTTCTCAGGATGTGCATGAGCGAGTCTCGGAGGCTGGGTCAGAGCTTTGACTGGTCTCACCCAGAGACCATCTCTGGGTGCAGCAATGGCCCAGGGAAGGGAAGGGACTCTTGGAAAGTCACCCATGCTAGTCCACATTAGTAGCTGTGTGCCCCTGCAGTGTGCTCACACTACCATGCGCTTTCATGTCTGCACTGTTGTCAAGCTCATTAATCCTTATGCCCCTCCAGTGATGGGAATATAGTATTATCCTCATAGTACACCTGGGGAAGTTAAGTGACCTAACTCATAACAGAACAAGGATTTAACCAAGGTTCTGCTGCTTCCCTGGCTCAGAAGCTCTGCTGGGTTAAGCAGAGAGAAGAATTTGTTAAGAGCTTATGGAATCACAGAGTGGGTTGAGAACCAGATTGGAGGCCCTCATCCAAGAACATGGGATGGAGTAGAGCCAGTGAGGGAATCCCTGTTCTCCCCAGGTGGCCATGCCAGTGCCCCCATGCCACTGTCAACTCAGGGAGATACACCTTATTTGAGAAGATCATGACATTGCCCCTAACCTCCCATCCCACCATCTGGGTCACAATCCTGCTGGACAACTGCTCTGGGGTCTTAAGTGCCTGCAGCCCTTACTGGAGACACTTTCTCTGTCTCTCTTGTAGACGCCAGTTCACTAACTCCCTCTAGCAGGTGCATGTTTTGGGTAGAGGAAAAGGGGGCTCTGGGTCACATGCCTAAGCCCTAGCTGCAAGGGAGCCTGGGAAGGTGAGGACTTAGCACTTCAGTTCAGGGGCAGGCAGTGGCCTCTGCCTTCACCTAGGGTTCCATGAGCCCAGCTTTAATGTCTGGTCACCAAAGCAATCCTGAAGGTCCATACATGGTATAACCTGGGGCAAGTCCATCCCCTTCCTGGGCCTCTGTCTCCTTGTCTGTAGGGAGCAGGGAAGTGGGTTAGCTCAGCAGTGATGCTCTGTTCTCCTCTGACCTCCCCCATTCCACAGAGATGCCTCTGAGCCCATCTCTGAGTGTGTCTCTCTCGTGTCTCCCTCTGTTTCTGTATGCCATTCTGTCTTCCTGTCTCTGTGTCTGAGTATCTATCTATTCTTGGTTTCTCTCTTGTGTTCTTTCCCACCTGATTGTCCCTTTCCAGATCTCTCCTTCCCTCTATCCCTCCCTATTCCTTCTCTCTTCCCACTGCACCTCCATTTCCCTCTCTGCTCTATCCCTCATTCTATCTGCTCTGCCCTGGAACCTTCTTTTGCCTGTGCCTATGGTCTTTGTGACTGCAAAGAAGGGTCCTGCTGCCTCCTTCCGGGACAAAGCCCACTTTCCTTGGCAGAACTTCCAGGTGCAGGCTTGGCCTCCTTGACCTAAGGCTCCTACCATTCCCTCCTGGGAACCCCTCGTCCCGTCTGTAATGAGGCATCTACTGGACAGGGAAGGAGAGCGCACTCCACCTAACCTAACCTCTGGGGAGTACTTTGCAGAACCCCATTCTAGAGACATGCCAAAGCACTGGTGTGTCCTGCTACATCAAGAATGGCTGCAACAGTGCAGACATGGAAAGGAGGGGTGGTGTGGCCTTCTGTCACCTCTGAGAGCCCCTACAACTCTGTGGCCTCTGAGTATTGTCTTGGGAGGTGGCCATCTCTCTGTCTAGACTGAAAGGATCTCATCCCCAAAGGGCTCTGGAGACAGCCTCTCCGCTCTTCTAGGGGCTGCTTCCAGTGTTGAGGGAAGAGCATAGGCTATTGCCAGCCAGAGTCTTCTACAGTATCTCACAGGAGCTGTGGGCTGGAAGAAGATTCTAATGCCGGTCATGCTGCTG